TCTTCCTCAAACGTTTAGGAAACTTTACTGGGCTTGCTGTATTCTTTGTGGGAAGGTTATTAATTACTTATTCAGTTTCTTTATTTGATAGAGATCTGTTGAAATTTAATTTTTGTGTTCAATTGTGGTAAATTGTGTCTCAAGGAGTTTATTTCAGTTAAAATTTCAAATTAAGTGGTATAAAGTTATTCATGGTATTTTTTTATATTGTGGAATCTGTAGTGATATCTTCTTTAACATTCCAGATGGTGGTAATTTGTGTTTTCTCCCTTTTTTCTTAATCATTCTTAATAAAGGTTTATCAATCTTATTTAATCTTTTTAGATTTTTTTGTATGTTATTAATCTTTTTAGAGAAACCTTTTTGCTTTGATTTTTCTCAGTTTTATGTTTATAATGTTTCAATTTCTGCTCTTATAAGTTTTTCTGTCTACTTTTTCTGGGTTTAATTTACTGCTCTTTTTCTAACTTCTTGAGATCAAAGCTTAAATCAATGATTTTTGGGTTGTTTTTTCTTCTCTAAAGTATGCATTTGGACCTGTAAATTATCCTCTCAGCACTGCTGTAATTCCATCCCACAAATTTTGATGTGTTTTGTTTTCATTACCTTTCAGTTCAGTCAAAATAGTTTCTAATTTTCAATGTAACTTTTTTAACCCATGGATTGTGTAGGTTACTTAATTTCTAAAACTTAGTAATTTCCAATTTATCTTTCTTTTGCTGACTGTTGTCATACAACACGTGCTGTATGATTTCAAGCCTAGCACATTTGTTGAGGCTAGCTTTATGGCTCAGCATGTAGTCTGTTCTGTAAATGTTCCTGGTGCATTTGAAAAGAATGTGTACTCTGCAGTAGTTAGGTGGAGTGATCTATAAATGTCAGTTAAGTCAGCTGTTTGATAGTGCTGTTCAAGTCTTCTGTCCAGCTGTAGGTGTGGATTTGTCTTATTTCTTTAAGGTCTGTCAATTTAAGCCATATATATTTTGAAACTGTGTTACTAAGTTCATACAGGTTTAACATTGTTATATCTTTTGTGAGTTGACCTTATCTGGATGAAATCTCCCTACTTGTTTGTAATTATACTTGTAATATCCATTTTGTCGGATACTAGTGCACTCATGCAGTTTTTTATGGGTTTTCTAAAGAGCAGGGGGATAAAATAGTTAAAAAGAGAATTTCAACAGAGAACTAGAATTTATTTTTAAAAATAAGATGGACTTTTTATTGACGTATAGTTGCTGTACAATATTATATAAGTTATAGGTGTACAATACAGTGATTTATAATTTTAAAAGGTGTTATTCCATTTATAGTTATTATAAAATATTGGCTATATTCCCCATGTTGTACAATCAGTATATCCTTGTAGCTTATTTTATACCTAATATTTTGTACGTTTATTTCCCCCTACCCCTATATTATTGCCCATCCCCCCTTTCCTCTCCACTGGTAACCACTGCTTTGTTCTCTGTATGTGTGAGTCTCCTGCTTTTTTGTTACATTCAATAGTTTGATGTATTTTTTAGATTCCACATATAAGTAATACTTTACAGTATTTGTCTTTCTCTGTCTTATTTCACTTAGCATAACGCCCTCCAAGTCCATTCGTGTTGCTGCAAATGGCAAAACTTTGTTCTTTTTTTTTATGGCTGAGTAGTATTTCACTGCATAAATATACCACATCTTCTTTATCCATTCATCTTTTAATGGACACTTAAGTTGCTTCAATATCTTGGCAATTGTAAATAATGCTGCGATGAACATTGGGGTGCATGTATCTTTTCAAATTACTGTTTTTGTTTTTTTCAGATAAATAGACAAGAGTGGAATTCCTAGGTCATATGGTAGTTCTGTTTTTAGTTTTTTGAGAAACCTCCATGTTGTTTTCCATAGTGGTTGCTCCAGTTTATATTCCCACCAACAGTGTATGAGGGTTCCCTTTTCTCCCCATCCTCTCCAACATTTGTTATTTGTGTTCTTTTTAATGATGGCCATTCTGACAGATGTGAGTTGATATCTCTTTGTGGTTTTGATTTGTATTTCCCTGATGATTAGCGATGTTGAACATCTTTTCATGTGCCTGTTGGCCATCTGCATTTCCTCAGATGGACATTTTATAACTAAAAACTACAGTATCTGAAATTAAGAACTTATTAGATGAGTTGTTAACGTTCGATGTTTGCTTTCTATTCTTTTACGTTAAATATTTCAGTTTTCTTGTACTTACACTGTTTATCTTGTAAAACACACTTAGTTGGGTTTCATTTATCCATTCTGATAATCTGTCCTTTAATTGTAGTAGTCTGTTTATGTAATATAATTTCTGATACAGTTGAATTTTTTAAAGTTGTACAGCATAATGACTTGACTTACATACACTGAAATGATTACCACGATAAGTTTAGTTAACATCCATCCATATAGATAGCAAAAGAAAAAAGAAAATTTTTTCTCCCTATGATGAGAACTTTTAGGGTTAACCTTCTTAGCAACTTTCAGATGCACCAGACAACAGTGTTAACCTTAGTCCCCATGCTGTACATTACATCCCCAGTACTTGTTTATCTTATACCTGGAAGTTTTACCTTTTTACCACCTTCATCCAGTTCTCCCACCTCTTGTAAACACAAATCTGATCTCTTTTTCTGTGAGTCTTTTTTTTATAGTTTTGGTTTTTTTGTTTGCTTGTTTGTTTTTAGATTCCACATGTTAGTGAGATCATACAGAACTTGTCTTTCTCTATCTGACTTATTTCACCTAGTATAATGCTCTCAGGGTCCATCCGTGTTGTCTCAGATGTCAGGATTTCCTTCTTTTTTGTAGTTGAATAGTATTCCATTTTCTTTATCCATTCATCTGTCAGTGGACACTTAGGTTGCTTCCATGTCTTGGCTATTATAAATAGTGCTGCAGTGAACATGGCAGTGCAGATATCTTCAAAGTATCGAGATATTTCGTTTCCTTCAGATATATACCCAGAAGTGGAATTGCTGGATCATGTGGTAGTTCTATTTTAAAATTTTTGAGGAACCTCCATACTGTTTTCCTTAGTGGCTGTTCCAACTTATAATCCCACCAACAGTGTACAAAGGTTCCCCTTTTTCCATATCCTGCTAGCATTGTCATCGCTCATAACAATGAGTTTTTAAGTGAATGATAACCATTCTGACAGGCAGAGGTGATTTTGATTTGCATTTCCCTGACGTTTAGTGCTGTTGAGCACCTTTTAACATACCTGTTGGCCATTTGAATATCTTATTTGGGAAAATGTCTATTTAGGTCCTTTGCCCATTTTTAAAAATTGGATTATTTGGGGTTTTCTGCCATTGATCTCTGTGAGTTCTTTATATATTCTGGATTTTAGTACCTTATTAGGGGTTATGATTTGCAGATATTTTCACCCATTCCATAGGTTGCTGTAATTGAGTTTTTAATTTACTTTCTGAAAAATGTTTTTTAGTTCTTTTTCTTGTTTATTTTATTTCAAATTTTCCAGTTTAATTTTACTTTTTTAAAATATATGTTCCATCTGTTCTTTGATCCTTTGCTGATCTTTTTGTATGTTCTTTTGTATGTTCTTTTGCAGTAATGGTTTTTGTTTTTGTTTTTGTTTTTTGCGGTATGCGGGCCTCTCACTGCTGTGGCCTCTCCCGTTGCGGAGCACAGGCTCTGGAGGCGCAGGATCAGCAGCCATGGTTCACGGGCCCAGCCGCTCCGCGGCATATGGGATCTTCCCGGACCAGGGCACGAACCTGTGTCCCCTGCATCGGCAGGCGGACTCTCAACCACTGCACCACCAGGGAAGCCCCAGTAATGTTTTTTTTAATTTCCATTTTTCCTCTTCTGCTAGCTTTTTTATTATTTATTTATTTTATATAAGTTGCTATAGATACACATTTTTATTTTACTTTTTGACTGCATGTGGTCTTCATTGCTGTGTGTGGGCTTTCTCTAGTTGCGGTGAGCAGGGGCTACTCTTTGTTGCAGTGTGTGTTTTTCTCATTGTGGAGGCTTCTCTTGTTGAGAAGCACAGGCTCTAGGTGCATGGGTTTCAGGGGTTGCAGCACATGGGCTCAGTAGCTGTGGCTCGCGGGCTCTAGAGCACAGGCTCAGTAGTTGTGGTGCACAGGCTTAGTTGCTCCATGGCATGTGGGATCCTCCCAGACCAGGGCTCGAACCCATGTCCCCTGCATTGGCAGGCGGATTCTTAATAACCACTGCACCATCAAGGGAAGTCCCGTTCTGTTAGCTTTTTAGTTATTCTTTTTTCTTATTTATTTATTATTATTTTGTTGTTGTTGTGCTGGGTCTTGGTTGCAGCAGGTGGGCTCCTTAGTTGCAGCTCGCCGGCTCCTTAGTTGCCACTTGCCTGCTCTTTAGTTGCGGCACATGGGCTCCTTAGTTGTGGCACACAAACTCAATCGCAGCATGCATGTGGGATCTAGTTCCCTGGCCGGGGATCGAACCTGGGCCCCCTGCATTAGGAGTGCGGAGTCTTAACCAGTGTGGCACCAGGGAAGTCCCCTTCTTTTTCTTTTTCTTTCTTTTTTTTTAAAATTTAATTTAATTTATTTATTTATTGGCTGTGTTGGGTCTTCTTTGCTGCGCATGGGTTTTCTCTAGTTGTGGCAAGCGGGGGGCTACTCTTTGTTGTGGGGCATGGGCTTCTCATTGCGGTGCCTTCTCTTGTTGCGGAGCATGGCCCCTAGGCACGCGGGCTTCAGTAGTTGTGGCACACAGGCCCTAGAGTGTAGGCTCAGTTGTTGTGGCGCATGGGCTTAGTTGCTCCACGGCATGTGGGATCTTCCCAGACCAGGACTTGAAGCTGTGTCCCCTGCATTGGCAGGCGGATTCTTTAACCACTGTGCCACCAGGGAAGCCCCTATTTTTCTTTTTAGTGGTGTTTTCACAATAAGCTTAGAATGCTACCTTGACCAGGTATGTGGGAAGAGTTTTGATATTCCCTCATTCTTAATGTTCTTTTTTTTTTTCTTTTTCAGACTCTTTGGAACAGGTAGTCACCATGTTCAGATATTAGCAAGCACATAGGTGTATGTCTGCATTGGAAAATGGCAGAGGGAAACAACAATGAAGAGGTAATTCACTTGAACGGCTTCCACTGCCACCGGGGACGAGGTAAGTGTTCTCACTTTCTCTATTTCATCATTGCTTTTTCCCTTAGTGTTACAGTTATATCGTCTTTGAAATGAATCTGTTCTGCACCATGTAAAACCCAGAGACGTTTCATTTTTAGATCTCAGAACATCAGGTTTAAATGGACTCATCAGACTAGAATTTTGTGTCAAATGATGATTCCTGCTGGCATGAATGAAGTTTAAGAACCTTCTATCACAAGTAGATTAGATCTTAAGAGGTAGGAGTATGGGAACTGTGGTAGTTCTCAGTTTTTGAAGGAATGGTGACTGACTGCAGAGGAGTGCACCTCCAGGCCTGTGCATTCTGAAAGTACTGAATCTGCTGCTAAAGCACTCTGGTCCCTCATACAGTACTTAATTTAGTTTTTGCCAGAAGATTCTGGTTTAGCTTTACAAGGAATTTTAGGACGTGTATTCTTTGACTTTACAGTTTAAAATTGGGGGAAATTCATTCATTCATAAAGGGAAGGGAGCCTACATTTCTCAGATTCCTAAATGCATATGAAATTTCCTATCAGGTCGTAATTCACAGTTACATCTAGACTAAAAGGAAAAACGTTATGCTGATGAGTAGGAAAAGATCATAAGTATAAATTCCATGGAAAAAGTTATACCATTTTTTGTATGTTTTCCCGTTGATAATATTTTGTGCTTATGAAGACTTTTTTTTTTTCCAGCAGAAGGTAAATTATATATATAGGGCTTTCAGATAATTTAAAATTGAGCAAATTTTATTAAGCAAATAAATTGAGAAAAACAAATTTGTTTAAGCTATGCAAATTATGAAAACAAAAGAAATACTGAATTTTTTAGGATTTTATTAATGTGTATTCTAACTTGGTAGTGATTGTAGCCATAATTTATTGTGATTTAGGAAGTTTTAAATCCTAGTTGTAATTTGTATGTATGATCATTTCCAAATTTTCTGAACATGTATATCAAATAAATGTTGTGGTTGTTTTTTTAACTGGGTCTTAAATATACTTCAACAAAGTCTCTTTAAGAACAACTCATTTCTTCTGGGAAATTATTGGCTTTAGAGGTATATTTTTCTGTTGGACACGTTTTGTGTATTTTGCACCCGTTGTGAAGAATTTTGTCGTGAGGAACTATACATATTTTAAGTGTATAGTTCAGTGAGTTTTGAAAAATTAATATACCCATATAACCACCACCTCAGTCATGATGTAGAACATATCCAGAAAGATTCCTATATGCCCCTTTGCAGGTAGTCCTCACCCCACTGCTGAACTAAGGAAGCCACTGATTTGCTTTTTGTCACTATACAGGTTCATATAAATAGAATCATACAGTGTTTACTCTTTGTCCTGAATTCTTCTGCACAGCATAATTTTTTTGATTCATCCATGTTGTTGCATGTATCAGTAATTCAATCCCTTTTAATTGCTGAATAGTATTCACCTAGAATTCTATATCCAGTGAAGATAGCCTTAAAAATAAAGGTAAAATAAAGAAAGGTTAAAAGTACAAGAATAAAAAAAAAGATACTTTATGCAAACAGTAGCCCTCAAGACAGAGCTATTAAGTCTATATATTATTAGATAAAGTAGACAATCCAGCCAGAAGTGTTAATACAGATAAAGAGTTCTGGGAAAGATAGAGTCTGGGAAGATAGAACAATTCTAATCTCTATAGAGTAGTAATATGGTATCAAAATATACAAAGAAAACATTGACAGAACTAAAAGGAGAGTTGGACAAATCGACAATCAAAATGGGAGATTTTAACATGTTTCTCTCAATAACTGAGAGAGACCAAGCACACAGAAACGTTTGTATAAATATGGAACCCTGGAAGAACACGATCAACAAACTGGACATAATAAACATATATGGGACTGCCACTGTACTCGGGACAGACCTGGGCGGCTGAAACCCTGTGGCCTCCAGGCCACGCACCAGGTGTTACTGTCTCTAAGCTGAACCTGGTCACCTTCTTTGAGCAAAGAGCCCTGGGATGTGAAGAAAAGGAGACAACAGTCATACACCCAGAGTGTGAGTGCAGAGAGACCTTCAAGATGGCAGAGGAGTGAGACGTGGAGATCAGCTTCCTCCCCACAAATACATCAAAACTACATCTACATGTGGAACAACAACTACAGAACACCTACTGAACGCTGGCAGAAGACCTCAGACTTCCCAAAAGGCAAGAAACTCCCCACATACCTGGGTAGGACAAAAGAAAAAAGGAAAAACAGAGACAAAAGAATAGGGATGGGACCTGCACCACTGGGAGGGAGCTGTGAAGGAGGAAAAGTTTCCACACACTAGGAAGCCCCTTCACTGGCAGAGACGGGGTGTGTGTCGGCGGGTGGGGGGTGGAAGCTTCAGGGCCACAGAAGAGAGCACTGCAACAGGGGTGCAGAGGGCAAAGTGGAGAGATTCCCGCACAGAGGATCGGTGCCGACCAGCACTCACCAGCCTGAAAGGCTTGTCTGCTCACCCGCTGCAGTGGGCGGGGGCTGGGAGCTGAGGCTCGGGCTTCGGAGGTGAGATCCCAGGGAGACGACTGGGGTCGGCTGCATGAACACAGCCTGAAGGGGGCTAGTGCACCACAGCTAGCCGGGAGGGAGTCCAGGAAAAAGTCTGGACCTGCCTAAGAGGCGAGAGACCATTGTTTCAGGGTGCGCAAGGAGAGGGGATGCAGATCACCACCTAAACGAGCTCCAGAGACAGGCGCAAGCCGTGGCTATCAGTACGGACCCCAGAGACGGGCATGAGACGCTAAGGCAGCCGCTACAGACACCAAGAAGCCTGTGTACAAGAACAGGCCACTGTCCACACCTCCCCTCCCGGGAGCCTGTGCAGCTCACCACTGCCAGGGTCCCGTGATCCAGGGACAACTTCCCCGGGAGAACACACGGCGCACCTCAGGCTGTTTGCTACGTCACACCAGCCTCTGCCACCACAGGCTCGCCCTGCATTCTGTACCCCTCCCTCCCCCTGGCCTGAGTGAGCCAGAGCCCCCTAATCAGCTGCTACTTTAACCCCGTCCTGTCTGAGCGAAGGAACAGATGCCCTCAGGTGACCTACACGCAGAGGTGGGCCCAAAACCAAAGCTGAACCCCAGGAGCTGTGCAAACAAAGAAGAGAAAGGGAAATCTCTCCCAGCAGCCTCAGGAGCAGTGGATTATATCGCCACACTCAACTTGATGTACCCTGCATCTGTGGAATGCCTGAATAGACAACCTCATTCCAAAATTGAGGTGGTGGACTTTGGGAGCAACGATATATATATTTTATTCCTTTTTCTCTTTTTGTGAGTTTGTATGTATATGCTTCTTTGTGTGATTTTGTCTGTATAGCTTTGCTTTTACCATTTGTCCTAGGGTTTTGTCTGTCTGTTTTCTTTTTTAATTTTTTTATTTTTAATAATTATTATTTTAATAACGATTTTATTTTATTTATTTTTTCTTTCTTTGTTTTTTTCTCCCTTTTTTTCTGAGCCATGTGGCCCACAGGGTCTTGGTGCTCTGGCTGGGTGTCAGGCCTGTGTCTCTGAGGTGGGGGAGCCAAGTTCAGGACATTGGTCCACCAGAGACCTCCTGGCTCCATGTAATATTAAACAGCAAAAGCTCTCCCAGAGATCTCCATCTCAATGCCAAGACCCAGCTCCACTCAACGACCAGCAACCTACAGTGCTGGACACCCTATGCCAAACAACTAGCAAGACAGTAACACAACCCCACCCATTAAGAGAGAGGCTGCCTAAAATCATAATAAGGTCACAGACGCCCCAAAACACACCATCGGATGCGGTCCTGCCCACCAGAAAGACAAGATCTAGCTTCTTCCTCCAGAACACAGGCACCAGTCCCCTCCACCAGGATGCCTACACAACCCACTGAACCAACCTTAGCCACTGGGGACAGACACCAAAAACAATGGAAACTACAAACCTGCAGCCTGCGAAAAGGAGACCCCAAACACAGTAAGTTAAGCAAAATGAGATGAGAGAGAAACATACAGCAGATGAAGGAGCAAGGTAAAAACCCACCAGACCTAACAAATGAAGAGGAAATAGGCAGTCTACCTGAAAAAGAATTCAGAGTAATGAGAGTAAAGATGATCCAAATTCTTGGAAATAGAATGGAGAAAATACAAGAAACATTTAACAAGGACCTAGAAGAACTAAAGAGCAAACAAACAATGATGAACAACACAATAAGTGAAATTAAAAATTCTCTAGAAGGAATCAGTAGCAAAATAACTGAGGCAGAAGAACACGTAAGTGACCTGGAGGATAAAATAGTGGAAATAACTACTGCAGAGCAGAATAAAGAAAAAAGAATGAAAAGAATTGAGGACAGGCTCAGAGACCTCTGGGACGTTAAACACACCAGCATTTGAATTATAGGGGTCCCAGAAGAAGAAGAGAAAAAGAAAGGGACTGAGAAAATATTTGTAGAGATTATAGTTGAAAACTTCACTAACATGGGAAAAGAAAGAGTTAATCACATCCAGAAAGCACAGAGAGTCCTGTACAGGATAAATCCAAGGAGAAACACGCCAAGACACATATTAATCAAACTATCAAAAATTAAATACAAAGAAAAAGTATTAAAAGCAGCAAGGGAAAAACAACAAATAACATACAAGGGAGTCTCCATAAGGTTAACAGCTGATCTTTCAGCAGAAACTCTGCAAGCCATAAGGGAGTGGCAGGACATATTTAAAGTGATGAAAGGGAAAAACCTACAACCAAGATTACTCAGCAAGGATCTCATTCATATTCGATGGAGGAATTAAAACCTTTACAGACAAGCAAAAGCTAAGAGAATTCAGCACCACCAAACCAGCTATACAATAAATGCCAAAGGAACTTCTCTAGGCAGGGAACACAAGAGAAAGAAAAGACCTACAATAACAAACCCAGAACAATCAAGGAAATGGTAATAAGAACATACATATCGATAATTACCTTAAATGTAAATGGATTAAATGCTCCAACCAAAAGACA